TTCCTCAGATTTTCTAAATTAATTAGATAAATGTATTCAAATTCTGATTAGACTAATACATAATAGCGCTGTGGTACCCTCGCTTTAGACACATTACAATTGTATTTTATGTCACAGTCCCTAAATTTACATGTATCAAATAAATGGGAATAAGACGATAATAATTATTACAAGCACTTATAGCTTATTGTAGTTAAGTAGTTAATCATTGTTCTCCGTGTTTATTTTCTATTTTTATTACTTTGTAGATATTAATGAGTGCATTAATGATATATGTCCTGATAAAAGTACTTGTGTCAATAAATTGGGTAGTTATGAGTGTAACTGTGCCACTGGATATGAAATAAATAGCACTGGACTCTGCAGAGGTAAGAGCATTTGTGTTTTTGATGTTAACTTAGTTTAACTTCACTTTTCTTTTTTCTTGTAATTAAATTAGTTTGGTTGTATTTAGAAAAGATGATGCACTAAGAGTGTGATTCAGCCACACATTAATGATTTTTTAGCTCAGCAGAGCTACACATTTTATAGCAGATACACTATTTCTAGATTGGAAAATGTAACTTACTATTTTTAAATTGAAGTTGTGCTCCATGTTTTATGATCTAAATGTACTTTTAATGGAAATTTCCTAGTGTATGGTGATTGTGATTTTAAAGTTATTTTCATTTTATGTGTGCAATTTCTAAATGCAGAGCTAGAACATTCAAAATGAGGCATATATATTATTCTTCATTTATATGCATCCTATGAAATTACAAGCATATATTCTTGTATTTTCACAGGACACTTTAAAATTTATTTTAAACACAAGCATAGAAATTGACTGATGCCTGGTTTTCATGTAGCCCTATAACACTCTTACAACCAACAAAGTTCATGTACAACTGTCAACAGCTGTTTAACCTAACCACAGTACATTCCCTGCTGCCTACCAAAATAACTGTAAGCTGGAGACAATAGCCAATCTACTAACAGCATTATTAATACATCTGTGACTGTTGCATGGGTACTGTCGCAGTACCCATGCACCCATGCAACAGTCACAGATGTAGGCTGTTAGTAGATCAACCATTCTCCAGTCTACGGCAGTCATTTTGGTGAGCAGCAGGGAATGTACCTAACCTTCCCCACCACCCACCCAAATAACTATAGATTAAAAAATGGTTTGGCCGCAAGAATATGATGTTGTGCATGTAGTAAATAATCATTATTTAGATATTGATGAATGTGCTGACAATACTCACATTTGTTCTCAACATTGTATCAATACTGAAGGATCCTATGACTGTTCCTGTTCTAACGGATTTATGCAAAGATTTAAGTACTTTTGCTTTGGTATGTTGATATTTTAATATCATGATTTAACTTAATGGGACTTATTTTGCATAGATATCAATGAATGTTCTAATTCTAACCTTCACAACTGTACTGGGAATGAGGTGTGCCAGAATACAGTTGGCAGCTTCTTGTGTCAGTGTAAAGATGGATTTACACGTAGTAGTAATGGATTAACTTGTAAACGTAAGCTGATAATACTTGGCATATAGTTACATAATTTAAAATTTATAAAATTAGATCAGCAAAAAATGTTAATTTTAGATTTGTCACATTCAATATGAGAGATTGGGACATATACATAGCACTTTTATCTAATGCAGTATGATCATGT